CATGTGAAATCTAAGATACGATTTTTTCAAAATATCGTATCAAAACTGAAATTTTCTGAATTTCAAGGAAATGGAGTTTTTCAAGTATTCCTTATTCCTTTGATAATACTTGAACGTTTATGCTTGATTTCCAAGATAACAAAACTCGATTGCTCTTGTACATTAAGAAACTCCACTTTAATCTCGATTTACTAGTAATTGAGGTTCATTTTCATGAAATTTCCCCAGATTGTACTAGTGCACAATCTTCCTTGATAATTGGGATGTGTGAATGATAATTCACTATTAAATGCTCAGGCGCTCAAGAGGACCTTCCAGAGGATCTCACGGGAGACGCCTAAACCATCATTTGAACTCGCTACTTGAATCACTGTGAATGTCAAGTGCATGAACTTGTTGTTAAGTGGTTATCTGTTTCTTATCCGTTATGTAAATTTGAAATTTTGAGACGAGGGTGTACTTTATCGCACTCGTTCTCTTTCAAATGAAATTATATTCGAATTTTGCTATGTGAATTCGTATCCAACTTGTACATGGTAATATGGATGTGATTTGTACATGTGATTCGTATATGTAATCCGTATTTGTGATTCCTATTTGGAATCGTCGATTTGAGCGTTGCTCATCGACTTATATTCGTATTCGTATTCATATTCGGGGGACGCCCAAAACTCATTGGCTAACTTTGCTAATCGAGCCAGCATGGGCTTGGTCGATAAGCTTAGCAAACCATGAGATATTCGTAGAGCATGATCTATTGGAGAGATCTTGCTCGGCATTACTCGTGCAGTATTGCCATGATATACTCGAGTATTATCAAAAACTTTGATGAGCGGATCCGGTAAGGGGGTGTAACGGTGACGGGATTCGAAGAAAAGTGGTGTATCTACGGATTTGATACTTATGTGGTTGACGGAGTGTCAACGTGAGATGTGATCAAGACTTCGACTCGACTACGTGGAATTTAGCTCCTGAGAGCTACAGTATCCTTGAATTGTTTCTGTTTATTTTTCCTATTCGAAATGTGAATTATTCGAATTTGATAGCCTTACCTACAATGTAATTGTTGTCGCTACTTGGATTATGTGTTTGCATGTGTGTTTTCTTGGCCTCACTGAGTATTGGCTCATCCTATTAGTTTGTTTTCCTTAACAGGTTGGATCGGAAGATTTTGGTAAAGCCGACTAGATTATACTTTTGATTGGAATCGGGACTGTAAATGTGTAGTCGACTTTTAATGGTTGCATTTTGGAACTTGATGTATCTTTTGTGAACATGATGTAAGATTTAAATATTTAGTTAAGGAAGCGACTTTTCTTTATTTTGACTCGTAGTATTTGGTATGTATCGTTAAGTTCGATTTGATTTGTCTTGAGTCCTGGCGAGAGCTGGGCAGGCGTCCCGCGGATACCATTGGGTTCGCTCTTGGGAGAAGTGGGGGCGTCACAGTTGGTATCAGAACCATATGCCGACAGTTGGGACTTTAAGTCCTTCGTCTGGAAAAGCCCCGAGCCTCTCGTTCGTGAAGAGTCACGAAGCGAAACTCTCCGTAGGGGATGCCCGCGTGCGGGTGGCAAGCTGATAGGTACCCCGTGATGTGACCCTGAAAACTGTCACAGTTGGTATCAGAGTTTAGGCTTCAGATCTTTGTAGTGTATTCTAAATTTGAAGTTTAGAATGCCGGACTGTGGGACTGGTTTGAAAGTTAAGTGACCACTTGTAGAAAAAAAAAAAATCAGAGCCGCTTCGCGTGGTATTTGCGCGGGGTGAGATTGGGCCAAATGGTATTATGGTCCTTATCATATGAATGAGTAAAGACTTAAGTACTCTTTTAGAGTGTAAGCTGTGAATCATGAATGTGATAGGTATAAATATTTTATCGTAATACTTGGGGAAAGACTAGATATGTATGTTGGGTAGGAATCTTAAATGTGGTGATTTACTCTTGGGACTGGCCAGCTCGAGATGTTACTTATTTTATTTCGAATTCTTGTACCCGAGTAATTAAGAGTTGAGGGCAATGCTAAAAACTTAAGATCTCCATTTGCGAAGAACAAGAACGGACTAATGTTTTGTGAGAACAAGTGCAGGAGGTCAACGAATGTCCAGTTCATATAGTAAGAAAAATGAGACATCTGGCGCAGAATATTTTAACTGAGTGTGGGACAATATTCACTAGAGAGAAGTAGAATGTAGTTGAGCCTAAGAGAGAGAGAGATAGAGAAAGATTGATGGATGGTCCTATGTAACTCAATAGGATCCAATTGTTTGATATGAGTCGGAAATGAACGAGAAAAAAAAAATTTAGCCCCTTTTGACTGATGTAGTTAGATTTAGCTGGGGTGATGCTAGTGTTGAGGCCATTGCATTTTTTTTGTATGACTGTGTGGCCTACTTTTGAGGCACTTGACTTTACTTTAGTCGTATGTGATTAAAAGTACTCTTGTGGCATCTGTGTGCTATATTTTTGTGACTACCCCATGACTTGCTAATTGTATGAACTTGATATGCTAATTAATGTAAATTATTGTTAATTCCAATGTTTTCTTGAGTGGTTCCTGCTTTTGTTATGCATCGCATAATTTATTATTTCTTGCACTAGGCACGCCTAGGTCATGGAAGGACTAAGAGGTGGTCGAGGCCGTGGTCGAGGTCGTGGACGAGGGACTAGACAGGCCCAACCTCAAAGGGATGACCAGGGATCGGCAACTGCACCGATCCAAGGTCAGGAAAATATCGAGGGTAATCAAGTGGCTACTGCCATTAATAGGATGACTGATATTCTAGAGCGTTTGGCTGATAGACAGGATCCAGGACCGTTTAACCAACCTGGGGGTCAGGAAAGAGGTGAGGATAGAGCCTTAGAGAGGTTCTTAAAATTTAACCCGCCTAAGTTTCTTGGCGAACCTGATCCTGAGGTAGCGGAGAATTGGTTAGAAAGGATGACCAACATATTCGCTGCTTTAGACTACACTGAAGATAGGCGAGTGAATTTCGCTGCTTTCCAATTTGAGGGAGTAGCCCGTGCTTGGTGGGATCTGATAAGAGGAAAATGGGAGAGAACTCAAACCCCTTGGACTTGGGAGAATTTCACAAGGGAATTTAATGAGAAATTTCTTCCGCCCTTAATCCAAGAGAAAAGGGAGGATGAATTCATCAAGTTGAAACAAGGAACCCTTAGTGTAGCGGAGTACGAGGGAAAGTTCACTAAGCTTTCTAAGTACGTTTCTGAATTGGTGATTAATGAACGGAGGAGGATTAGACGGTTCGTGCAGGGACTTAATGTAGAAATCCAGGAGGGTTTGGCTGCAGCCCAAATCTCTACGTTCACTGAAATTTTAGAAAAAGCACAGAGAGTCGAGAGTGCAAGGCTGCAAGTTAGAGACTTTCATGCTAAGAAGAGGAGCACTTCTAGTAACCCTTCGGGACAGGCAGATAAGAATGCCCCACCTTTTAAAAAGGGAAAAGGAACGGGTGGAGTGGAGATATCTAACATGCCAAAAGGGACTCAATCAAGAGGAGATCGCAATGGACGAGGTCAATCGAGAGGGACACCTCCAAGTGGTCAATCTGTGGCTCCCCAAGTCGTGTGTGGTTATTGTGGCAAGCTCAACCATACGGAGAATGATTGTTTTAGGAAACAAGGGAAGTGCTTGTATTGTGGTAGTACCGAGCACCAGATATCGAAATGCCTGACCGTACCAAAAGAAGGCGGTAGTACCCAAAGGCCTGAAAAGTCAGCCGCTAAACAGCCTAGTGTTGGAGGAAGTCGATCTAATGCACCAGGTAGGGTTTATGCATTAGGCTATCAACATGTTTCCGATTCTACTAAAGTCATTGGAGGTATGATTCTTTCTTTTAATTGTCTATCTAAGGTTCTCAGTGACCTAGTACCGTACACACTTTTTGCAAAACCCTAGATTCATAAGATAGAATCAAAGTTTGACTACTAATTGGGTAAATAGAAATTGTGATATATGGATCGGAGGGTGTAAGTTAGTGATTAATTTGAAAGGCATGACTCTTAAGGGGTATGACTATTATCCAAAGTGTGAATTTCGAGCACGAAATTCTTTTAAAGAGGGGAGGATGTGAGGACCCGAAATTTTTTATTTTATTTTATCGAATATTAGTAGTTTGTTTAAATATTTATTTACTCATTTTTCTCCAAATTATTTATTTCGATCATTTAAAATCCATTTATATGGAACGACGCCTCTTTTATATTTTTAAAAAGCGTTTTGTTGGAAAAATTCACTCTTCGAAAACTCGTTTAGTTCGGAACAACGAGTGCACGTTTTTCGAGACTATATTTGAATCGAGAGTGTATTAATATTGGAGAATTAAGAACGATCAATAATAGATTAAGAAAGGATAATTGAGGAATTAATACTCAATTCACGTGAGGACTCGTAAAATTATTATTTTTAAACCCCTAATTTTGGCTCAATTAATTATCTATTTGAATTTTTGCCCGAATATTATTTTCTATCCTTATTAGACCTAAATATATGGTTTTATAGTTTTGTTATATTTTTAAAGTGTCTCGTTTCAAAAAATTATTTTCTTAGAAACTTGTTTAGTGAAAAAGTGAAAACGTGTCTGAAAACTTTAGCCAATTAGGAGTACAATAAACTCAAAAATTTAAGACATATACAATGGTTCTAAAATAGGCAATTTTAGGTTTAAATATTGAAATGATAGTTAGTGGTACGATCGTTATAAGAATTTCTCAAAGGTTTCAATTTTATTGCGCCTAAATTAGAAATACGTGTTTTCACGTGCGCGCTTAATTGAGGGACTTTGGACCATTATTTTGGCATAATTAAGAATGAATAATATTTATATGAATGTAAGTGCCCAAGAGGTTTAGTGCACTAGTGCAACAAACGTAAGAGAAATCGAATACAAAACGCGTGCGTAGGGCACTAGTTGTAATTGATTTGACGTATTTAATATATTAGACATCAAGCGTCTTATGTACGCAAAGGAACCAGCAATCTCATTTCAGTTCTGCAAAGCTTCATGGCCGGATAGCAGCAGCAAAAGGGACAACCAAAACCTTCAACATTTCTTCTTCCAAAACTCATGCAAATCACCACCGAATCTTCTAAAAATTTAGCACCACTTAGCCTAAGTTTTGGACAACACATTTAGCTGGAAAAGGGAGGAGCTTTCACGGTTCTTCAAGCTTCAAAGGGGCCGAAACTTCTGTCCTAACCAGCCATCAAAGTAGGTAGTAATCCATCACCTTAAACTTGTCTTTTGGAGTTTGATTTATGCATTTGAGCTAGAATCGTCACTTTAGTAGCTTGTATTGTTGGGAAAATTGTTAAACGTGGGCTCTATGAACTCCCACTTTGGGTTGATGGCTGTGATGATGTTTGATGATTGTTTTGTTGCTGAATTAGAGCTTAAGGAAGTAGATTAAAGGTGCTTTGTTACCATAAACGTTATTGAACTCTTGAAACAAAAAGTTCCCATTTTACCCCTGCTCTGTTCGGTCATTTTAATGCAGAAACTGAGGATTTAATGGCCTGATTATGTTGTTTACATGTTGTAGCAGTTGCGTACAAACTTTTGTTGAAAAATACTGAGTTTTGGTGGGTCAAACGAATTTATTTCCAAAGCTAGTAATCTGGGAAAACGGTTGCCGTCGTAACCAGACCAGTGTTCGTGTTTCGTCCATAACTCCGTACTCCGACGTCGAAATCAAGTGCCGTTAGCGGCATTTGAAAATAGACGTTCCCATGTTTCCAACGGTGTATAGTGCACATTCTGGTTTCATGTGTGTGAGCCACACCATTCATCTGAAGTCGGCTGTCCTGTTTCTCCGTTCTGCCGAAATGATTTGATGATGCTGCAACTTTAGGCTTAATTTCGAACCAGTTGGATGCTGAAACTTGAAACAATTTCTTCCGTACAATTTTAGCCCTGTGAATGTATTTTCTAACACTATCAACCATTCCCAATTCCGAGTTAAATTGAGGGAGTTATGATCAAAATACGGCGACTGCCTCGTTTTTGAAACATTAGATTTGGACAGATTGCCTTAAGGATTTTTCCAAACTTTGGTTGATTGATTAACCACCTTTCCGAAGGTATTTTTTCATGAAATTTGATAGAGAGATACTCTTCATATTTTGGTATTATATTGCAAAATTTGGTATCAATCCAAGTCCGTTTCGACACTTAACTAAAGGTCCAAAGTCGGAACCAAATCTGGAAATTTGTTAACAGTCTTGAAATTTACCCAACTTTGAGCTACCATATCTTGGTGGTCGAAACTCCGATTCTCGATCCGCATGTTCTGCCCTAAACCTTACTTGCACCTCTAATTGAGCTACAAATTTCAAGGGCTGGTTTGCAACGAGTGAATTCTCCTGAATTTTCAAAGTTAGCGAAAAACCAACCCCGGCTCAATCTTGGGTGATTTGGAACAGCAACTTTAAACTTATTTTTGAACACCTTCCACTTAGATTCATGGAAAAGTGTCTTCTAAGAACTTTTAGTACTTTGGAAGAGGTTTCCAACGGTACCAAGTTTTCCAATTTTCGACATGTGAAATCTGAGATACGATTTTTTCAAAATATCATATCAAAACTGAAATTTTCTGAATTTCAAGGAAATGGAGTTTTTCAAGTATTCCTTATTCCTTTGATAATACTTGAACGTTTATGCTTGATTTCCAAGATAACAAAACTCGATTGCTCTTGTACATTAAGAAACTCCACTTTAATCTCGATTTACAAGTAATGGAGGTTCATTTTCATGAAATTTCCCCAGATTGTACTAGTGCACAATCTTCCTTGATAATTAGGATGTGTGAATGATAATTCACTATTAAATGCTCAGGCGCTCAAGAGGACCTTCCAGAGGATCTCACGGGAGACGCCTAAACCATCATTTGAACTCGCTACTTGAATCACTGTGAGTGTCAAGTGCATGAACTTGTTGTTAAGTGGTTATCTGTTTCTTATCCGTTATGTAAATTTGAAATTTTGAGACGAGGGTGTACTTTATCGCACTCGTTCTCTTTCAAATGAAATTATATTCGAATTTTGTTATGTGAATTCGTATCCAACTTGTACATGGTAATATGGATGTGATTTGTACATGTGATTCGTATATGTAATCCGTATTTGTGATTCCTATTTGGAATCGTCGATTTGAGCGTTGCTCATCGACTTATATTCGTATTCGTATTCATATTCGGGGGACGCCCAAAACTCGTTGGCTAACTTTGCTAATCGAGCCAGCATGGGCTTGGTCGATAAGCTTAGCAAACCATGAGATATTCGTAGAGCATGATCTATTGGAGAGATCTTGCTCGGCATTACTCGTGCAGTATTGCCATGATATACTCGAGTATTATCAAAAACTTTGATGAGCGGACCCGGTAAGGGGGTGTAACGGTGACGGGATTCGAAGAAAAGTGGTGTATCTACGGATTTGATACTTATGTGGTTGACGAAGTGTCAACGTGAGATGTGATCAAGACTTCGACTCGACTACGTGGAATTTAGCTCCTGAGAGCTACAGTATCTTTGAATTGTTTCTGTTTATTTTTCCTATTCGAAATGTGAATTATTCGAATTTGATAGCCTTACCTACAATGTAATTGTTGTCGCTACTTGGATTATGTGTTTGCATGTGTGTTTTCTTGGCCTCACTGAGTATTGGCTCATCCTATTAGTTTGTTTTCCTTAACAGGTTGGATCGGAAGATTTTGGTAAAGCCGACTAGATTATACTTTTGATTGGAATCGGGACTGTAAATGTGTAGTCGACTTTTAATGGTTGCATTTTGGAACTTGATGTATCTTTTGTGAACATGATGTAAGATTTAAATATTTAGTTAAGGAAGCGACTTTTCTTTATTTTGACTCGTAGTATTTGGTATGTATCGTTAAGTTCGATTTGATTTGTCTTGAGTCCTGGCGAGAGCTGGGCAGGCGTCCCGCGGATACCATTGGGTTCGCTCTTGGGAGAAGTGGGGGCGTCACAGTTGGTATCAGAACCATATGCCGACAGTTGGGACTTTAAGTCCTTCGTCTGGAAAAGCCCCGAGCCTCTCGTTCGTGAAGAGTCACGAAGCGAAACTCTCCGTAGGGGATGCCCGCGTGCGGGTGGCAAGCTGATAGGTACCCCGTGATGTGACCCTGAAAACTGTCACAGTTGGTATCAGAGTTTAGGCTTCAGATCTTTGTAGTGTATTCTAAATTTGAAGTTTAGAATGCCGGACTGTGGGACTGGTTTGAAAGTTAAGTGACCACTTGTAGAAAAAAAAAAAATCAGAGCCGCTTCGCGTGGTATTTGCGCGGGGTGAGATTGGGCCAAATGGTATTATGGTCCTTATCATATGAATGAGTAAAGACTTAAGTACTCTTTTAGAGTGTAAGCTGTGAATCATGAATGTGATAGGTATAAATATTTTATCGTAATACTTGGGGAAAGACTAGATATGTATGTTGGGTAGGAATCTTAAATATGGTGATTTACTCTTGGGACTGGCCAGCTCGAGATGTGACTTATTTTATTTCGAATTCTTGTACCCGAGTAATTAAGAGTTGAGGGCAATGCTAAAAATTTAAGATCTCCATTTGCGAAGAACAAGAACGGACTAATGTTTTGTGAGAACAAGTGCAGGAGGTCAACGAATGTCCAGTTCATATAGTAAGAAAAATGAGACATCTGGCGCAGAATATTTTAACTGAGTGTGGGACAATATTCACTAGAGAGAAGTAGAATGTAGTTGAGCCTAAGAGAGAGAGAGATAGAGAAAGATTGATGGATGGTCCTATGTAACTCAATAGGATCCAATTGTTTGATATGAGTCGGAAATAAACGAGAAAAAAAAAATTTAGCCCCTTTTGACTGATGTAGTTAGATTTAGCTGGGGTGATGCTAGTGTTGAGGCCATTGCATTTTTTTTGTATGACTGTGTGGCCTACTTTTGAGGCATTTGACTTTACTTTAGTCGTATGTGATTAAAAGTACTCTTGTGGCATCTGTGTGCTATATTTTTGTGACTACCCCATGACTTGCTAATTGTATGAACTTGATATGCTAATTAATGTAAATTATTGTTAATTCCAATGTTTTCTTGAGTGGTTCCTGCTTTTGTTATGCATCGCATAATTTATTATTTCTTGCACTAGGCACGCCTAGGTCATGGAAGGACTAAGAGGTGGTCGAGGCCGTGGTCGAGGTCGTGGGCGAGGGACTAGACAGGCCCAACCTCAAAGGGATGACCAGGGATCGGCAACTGCACCGATCCAAGGTCAGGAAAATATCGAGGGTAATCAAGTGGCTATTGCCATTAATAAGATGACTGATATTCTAGAGCGTTTGGCTGATAGACAGGATCCAGGACCGTTTAACCAACCTGGGGGTCAGGAAAGAGGTGAGGATAGAGCCTTAGAGAGGTTCTTAAAATTTAACCCGCCTAAGTTTCTTGGCGAACCTGATCCTGAGGTAGCGGAGAATTGGTTAGAAAGGATGACCAACATATTCGCTGCTTTAGACTACACTGAAGATAGGCGAGTGAATTTCGCTGCTTTCCAATTTGAGGGAGTAGCCCGTGCTTGGTGGGATCTGATAAGAGGAAAATGGGAGAGAACTCAAACCCCTTGGACTTGGGAGAATTTCACAAGGGAATTTAATGAGAAATTTCTTCCGCCCTTAATCCAAGAGAAAAGGGAGGATGAATTCATCAAGTTGAAACAAGGAACCCTTAGTGTAGCGGAGTACGAGGGAAAGTTCACTAAGCTTTCTAAGTACGTTTCTGAATTGGTGATTAATGAACGGAGGAGGATTAGACGGTTCGTGCAGGGACTTAATGTAGAAATCCAGGAGGGTTTGGCTGCAGCCCAAATCTCTACGTTCACTGAAATTTTAGAAAAAGCACAGAGAGTCGAGAGTGCAAGGCTGCAAGTTAGAGACTTTCATGCTAAGAAGAGGAGCACTTCTAGTAACCCTTCGGGACAGGCAGATAAGAATGCCCCACCTTTTAAAAAGGGAAAAGGAACGGGTGGAGTGGAGATATCTAACATGCCAAAAGGGACTCAATCAAGAGGAGATCGCAATGGACGAGGTCAATCGAGAGGGACACCTCCAAGTGGTCAATCTGTGGCTCCCCAAGTCGTGTGTGGTTATTGTGGCAAGCTCAACCATACGGAGAATGATTGTTTTAGAAAACAAGGGAAGTGCTTGTATTGTGGTAGTACCGAGCACCAGATATCGAAATGCCTGACCGTATCAAAAGAAGGCGGGAGTACCCAAAGGCCTGAAAAGTCAGCCGCTAAGCAGCCTAGTGTTGGAGGAAGTCGATCTAATGCACCAGGTAGGGTTTATGCATTAGGCTATCAACATGTTTCCGATTCTACTAAAGTCATTGGAGGTATGATTCTTTCTTTTAATTGTCTATCTAAGGTTCTCAGTGACCTAGTACCGTACACACTTTTTGCAAAACCCTAGATTCATAAGATAGAATCAAAGTTTGACTACTAATTGGGTAAATAGAAATTGTGATATATGGATCGGAGGGTGTAAGTTAGTGATTAATTTGAAAGGCATGACTCTTAAGGGGTATGACTATTATCCAAAGTGTGAATTTCGAGCACGAAATTCTTTTAAAGAGGGGAGGATGTGAGGACCCGAAATTTTTTATTTTATTTTATCGAATATTAGTAGTTTGTTTAAATATTTATTTACTCATTTTTCTCCAAATTATTTATTTCGATCATTTAAAATCCATTTATATGGAACGACGCCTCTTTTATATTTTTAAAAAGCGTTTTGTTGGAAAAATTCACTCTTCGAAAACTCGTTTAGTTCGGAACAACGAGTGCACGTTTTTCGAGACTATATTTGAATCGAGAGTGTATTAATATTGGAGAATTAAGAACGATCAATAATAGATTAAGAAAGGATAATTGAGGAATTAATACTCAATTCACGTGAGGACTCGTAAAATTATTATTTTTAAACCCCTAATTTTGGCTCAATTAATTATCTATTTGAATTTTTGCCCGAATATTATTTTCTATCCTTATTAGACCTAAATATATGGTTTTATAGTTTTGTTATATTTTTAAAGTGTCTCGTTTCAAAAAATTATTTTCTTAGAAACTTGTTTAGTGAAAAAGTGAAAACGTGTCTGAAAACTTTAGCCAATTAGGAGTACAATAAGCTCAAAAATTTAAGACATATACAATGGTTCTAAAATAGGCAATTTTAGGTTTAAATATTGAAGTGATAGTTAGTGGTACGATCGTTATAAGAATTTCTCAAAGGTTTCAATTTTATTGCGCCTAAATTAGAAATACGTGTTTTCACGTGCGCGCTTAATTGAGGGACTTTGGACCATTATTTTGGGATAATTAAGAATGAATAATATTTATATGAATGTAAGTGCCCTAGAGGTTTAGTACACTAGTGCAACAAACGTAAGAGAAATCGAACACAAAACGCGTGCGTAGGGCACTAGTTGTAATTGATTTGACGTATTTAATATATTAGACATCAAGCGTCTTATGTACGCAAAGGAACCAGCAATCTCATTTCAGTTCTGCAAAGTTTCATGGCCGGATAGCAGCAGCAAAAGGGACAACCGAAACCTTCAACATTTCTTCTTCCAAAACTCATGCAAATCACCACCGAATCTTCTAAAAATTTAGCACCACTTAGCCTAAGTCTTGGACAACACATTTAGCTGGAAAAGGGAGGAGCTTTCACGGTTCTTCAAGCTTCAAAGGGGCCGAAACTTCTGTCCTAACCAGCCATCAAAGTAGGTAGTAATCCATCACCTTAAACTTGTCTTTTGGAGTTTGATTTATGCATTTGAGCTAGAATCGTCACTTTAGTAGCTTGTATTGTTGGGAAAATTGTTAAACGTGGGCTCTATGAACTCCCACTTTGGGTTGATGGCTGTGATGATGTTTGATGATTGTTTTGTTGCTGAATTAGAGCTTAAGGAAGTAGATTAAAGGTGCTTTGTTACCATAAACGTTATTGAACTCTTGAAACAAAAAGTTCCCATTTTACCCCTGCTCTGTTCGGTCATTTTAATGCAGAAACTGAGGATTTAATGGCCTGATTATGTTGTTTACATGTTGTAGTAGTTGTGTACAAATTTTCGTTGAAAAATACTGAGCTTTGGTGGGTCAAACGAATTTATTTCCAAAGCTAGTAATCTGGGAAAACGGTTGCCGTCGTAACCAGACCAGTGTTCGTGTTTCGTCCATAACTCCGTACTCCGACGTCGAAATCAAGTTCCGTTAGTGGCATTTGAAAATAGACGTTCCCATGTTTCAAACGGTGTATAGTGTACATTCTGGTTTCATGTGTGTGAGCCACACCATTCATCTGAAGTCGGCTGTCCTGTTTCTCCGTTCTGCCGAAATGATTTGATGATGCTGCAACTTTAGGCTTAATTTCGAACCAGTTGGATGCTGAAACTTGCAACGATTTCTTCTGTGAAATTTTAGCCCTGTAAATGTATTTTCTAACACTATCAACCATTCCCAATTCCGAGTTAAATTGAGGGAGTTATGATCAAAATACGGCGACTGCCTCGTTTTTGAAACATTAGATTTGGACAGATTGCCTTAAGGATTTTTCCAAACTTTGGTTGATTGATTAACCACCTTTCCGAAGGTATTTTTTTACTAAATTTGATAGAGAGATACCCTTCATATTTTGGTATTATATTGCAAAATTTGGTATCAATCCAAGTCCGTTTCGACACTTAACTAAAGGTCCAAAGTCGGAAACAAATCTGGAAATTTGTTAACAGTCTTGAAATTTACCCAACTTTCAGCTACCATATCTTGGTGGTCGAAACTCCGATTCTCGATCCGCTTATTCTGCCCTAAACCTTACTTGCACCTCTAATTGAGCTACAAATTTCAAGGGCTGGTT